AGCATTTATAACTATTCATCATGTGTTTTGGACATTCCAAAAATAAATTAGAGCCGCTTAAAAAAAGGTGTTATTTTCTCACAGTTTTTCGAATTTTTTGTTTTGAAAATAGCCAATTTTCAAAACAAAAAATTCACTCACAGAACCAATACGTGTCATTCTAATTTTCTGCCACTCCATCAATTCATTCCCAGCGAAGCGGGCTGCGTTCAGCTAGTACATTTATATGTGTATACATTCTTTTAAGCATTATGAATTGCAAAAGAATAAACCTCCCTTTATTGCTACGAATTTGGCGTTCATTTGCGTCTCGCCAGTAGATATGTTATATTAGAGCAATCGACATGAGTTCACATCGATCACATAATAATCACACACAACAAATAACAGTTGTGTCTGCATATTCACGCTATCAGACGATTGATATTCCCTGCTCATCAGTGTTCGAATGGTTTTTTTTTCCACGGCGATAAAGCTTCAACAACAATAACACGTATTTCCAATATAAACATAAGACGAGCTCTACTGACACGACGCTTGTGGTGATAGTTGAAGATTTCAATCACATAAGCGTATGCATGGCCGATAATCAAGTAGCCATTCGCGCAAACCGTATTAATCCTATGCTAGCGTGTCCGTATTGTGTGTATATATTGAACGCTCAACGTGTGTTGTGTGTATGAGGTATAACCACCAGAGGCAGGTCAAATGTTCTTGGTTGGTTGAACAAACTGCCAATCCAGTGAGGTACAACTTCTGTACAGATTGGTTTCGTTCATTTCCAGAGGAGTACAATTCATATCACGGTCTGGTACGCATTCCGTTAAGAAAAGTCGTAAAACGGATTTGTACTTCGGGCCAAATCTTGGTTTCAGCGATAACTCAGCAAATAAGACCGATATTGCTATCAATTCTATTAGTAATTTTTAGTACACATTTGGTAAAATAACACTAATCCTATTTCAACCGTGGATTTGTTTAAATTGCATACTTTACCGTACACCTCGTAATTTTGAAAATGCTCAAATTTAGACCATCCAATTGCTCGAAATCTTGATAAGTACACTTTTTTTAAAATGCGGTACGTTTTTGTACACATTAAGTACAATCGATTTAGTTTGGTTGAACCCCCATTACGAACAACTCTTCGTAATTTCGAATATGCATCCCGAATGTTGTCGTCAGTATGAATTTCATAGCCGTGGGTTTTTTTCGTCTACATTCTATCTTTCTTACTTTCTGTGTTGTTGTTGTGATGTATACACGCGTATTCCGGAATGGAAATCCTGTGCTCGTTTATTGCACCGAATGAATCTTGATGTGGGTCGAGGAAATTAAACTTGAATTTTTTTTAAGGAAATATCTTTGATTTTCACAGAAAATCCCTTGAGCTTTTCGGAAAATTACACTGTGGACATGTGGATAATCTGATGGCCAAAATACTTTCTAGTTTATTGTTCGTAAGTTATATTACCGTAGCATTTAAAACGATTAAAACAATAAGGTTTTTTGAAATGATTTCTTTTTTCAAAAAATACACGAAGCTCAAAATTCATATTAAATTTTTTTCGAATCAAGTTTTATCATAAAAAGTCATGAAACCATATGGTCGGTATTATAAAGTCTAGAAGTCTTAATTACTCAATTTTTTGTCATTTTCCCCTTTAGCTGTGATCTGCATTATGGCGTATATAGCAGGGTGTAACAAAACTCCATGTAAATCTCTCTACCTGAGGAGCCAGCTCAACAGGAATACAAAGTACAAATGCGTCTAAAAGTTCATAAAGTTGATCATTTAAACAGTGTGAGGGATAGGTATCAGCAAAAATATTTCTTCCCCAGATTTGTACATCCTTTATTAAAATCCATATGTCAACTAGGTTGCAACCATATGTCAACTAGGCACCATATGTCAACTAGTTTGCAACAGCCAAGGTGAGTGAATCTCAAGTGCCTTCAGCGTGCCTTCTGGTTTTAGCACCCAAGTTGATAAAAAATAATCAGTGCGACTAATTTTAAACGATGTTTTGGTCCGAAGATAGTACAAATCTACAGATTTTTTTTGAAAACTATCAACAATACCTTCCCAAAGAGCCGTCAAACTAACATTTTATGTCCAAAAGCGTCTAAGCAATAGATCATACACGAAAAAATCTGTGTTTTTATCTATGGTAAAGATGTTTACGTGGAATTATGTTACTTCCTGTATATTTGTTTGATCGACAATTCCACACGAAACCGAACAAAAATTGCAATTGACCTCTCGGATTTCGTTCAAACTTGGTGTATAAACTTGGTATGGCCAAAAACTCGCAAAGCCAAAAAATTAGGTTGACCTTCCCCACCTGATGAAAAATTAGGGTGACCCAAATTTTGCGAGAAATTGACTATATAACTTTTTTGACATTTTTACACTATGAGAAGCGTGGTACAAACTTCCAAAACTATATACATGGTTGGATAGATAATCGATGGGGCTACAAAAATGTCAAGTGGCCGATTTTTCTGGCTTGAAAGTTAGCCCACCTCGAGTTCTTCAAATTAACGAAGAGAAATTACTACTTCCACCCTGTACTTTTTTTTAGAAAAAAATTCTGGGAGGTCATCCCGTGTGCAAATAAAATGACTAACAGTTACTCGGTTGTATGTAACTGTATGTAGTGATACACAACTAAAACTGGCTAAGTTGATTGAAATCATGCGTTTTGTATGGAGACAATCACGTTTAGTTATTCTTTCAGTCAGTCGACTAATTTGGGACATTTTGACTAAGAGTGATTTGTGATTAAAGTTAACTGCAGTTGCTTATTTTGTTCGAGACAATCACTTTTAGTCAGTCAAAATGTCCCAAATTAATCGACTGAATAGTCAGTCAAAAATTTTCCACACGGGATGACTCATCATTTTTTCATGTTTTCTCGACTATATAATTTTTTTTCACACCTTAAAGATGGTCTGACGATGGTGATGTGTTCAGATAAAATGCTCACCGGACTCTAACAAATCAAAAATTACCCCTCTTCTTTGGAGGGGCAGGAGAGGCTCCAAAAATCGAAAAATCACCAAAAATCACAATTTTAGGGCAAAAACAGGACAAAAACCTGCTTTTGGCCCCAAACCATTATAATATTCGGAAAGCATGAAAAAATCCTAGGGGAGAGTGGGGAATGGTGAAACGCACTTTTACCTAATTTAATGACATGCTAAAAAATTAACATTTTTCCAAATTTCAAACTCGTACGATACACCACAGGCCATAAGTTTGGATACCCATGAATGAATTTGGCCCAAAATTTTTAAATTTCAAACCGCTTGTACAATATCAACATGCTATACGTCGTTGGAAAGGTCTCGGAGAGTACGTATCATTTTTGGTATTAAACATCAAAATCGGCCAGCTTTTGGCCAAGATATGGCTGATTGAAGATTTCGGCCAAAAATTACAAACGGCCATATCTTGGCCAAACGCCGGCCGATTTTGATGTTTAATACCAAAAATTACATCTACTTTTCAAGGCCTTTCCAATGGCGTATATAACTTTTTAATCCGATGGCCTGTTTAAGACTTCGATTTTCGCTCCCACAGCTCAAAGGCCAAAAGATGGCCATAGGCCGACCAAATGTTATCTTCCAAATCATCCATTCGGTCAGAATTTCGATATATTTTCATATCCAATACTAAATTTCAAGTGAAAATGTTCAAAAAACGTAGAAACAAACGTTTCATAGGGGTATCCAAACTTATGGCCTGTGGTGTATATTGGGTCAATTCGAAAGTTTCCGCCTCTGACATTTAAATGTCGCCACTTGTAAATGAGCGTAGCTTGACAAGTGAATCCAATTGCATTTTGTAGATGTGACATTTAGCAATCTAACTCAGAGCAGAAAGATTCATTTTTCGTTCTGCGTCATTGTTTTTGAATCGATTGAAAATGGATCGTGATGAGGTATTTTTTCGAGGGGCCCTTCTTTTCTTATTTGATTCGAAGAAAACTGCCGCTGAAGCTCATCGAATGCTGTCAGATACTTATGGCGAGCAAGCTCCATCAGAACGAAGCTGCAGAGAATGGTTTCATCGATTCAAAAGTGGTGATTTTGACTTGAAAGACAAAGAACGTTCAGGTCGGCCAGAAGCGATTGAAGATGTCGATTTGCAAGCATTATTGGATGAAGACCCAACCCAAACGCAAAAAGAACTTGCATTGCAGTTAAACGTCGGCCAAACAACCATTTTCAGACATTTGCACGCCATGGGAAAGATTCGGAAGCTGGGAAAATGGGTTCCACATCAACTGTCTGAAGAGCAACTTCAAGCACGAATCGCAATATGCACAAAACATCTTGCAGAGCACAAAAGAAACAGTTTTTTGTATCGGATTGTTACCGGCGATGAAAAGTGGGTTTATTACGAAAACCCCAAGCGTAAAGCAGCGTATGTTGATCCCGGCCAACCGGCGCCATCCCAGCCAAAACGAGATATTCATTGCGATAAGGTTATGCTATGCATCTGGTGGGATATGAAAGGAGTCGTGTATTATGAGCTGCTAAAACCAGATCAAACGATTAATAAGGAACGCTATCGACGCCAATTGAATGATTTGGCTCATGCATTGGATGAAAAACGGCCATTAATAGCTCGAAAACACCACAATGTTTTGTTTCACGATGACAACGCTAAGCCACATCGTGCAACAATCGTTAAAAATAAGGTAGAGCAGCTCGGTTGGGATCGGCTTGATCAGCCCGCGTACTCTCCAGACCTTGCTCCTTGCGACTACTATTTATTTCGATCGATGCGGATTGCCCTGTCTGAAGTACGCTTTCAAAATGAGGAGGAAGTGCGAAAATGGGTTGATGACTACATAACCTCAAAAGACGAGGACTTCTTCAAACGAGGAATCAACAAGCTGCCTGAAAGATGGCTAGAAGTCATAGCTAACGATGGCGAATACATTGGTTAATGTACATTTTCAATTTATTTTGCAATAAATGTATTTTTAGACAAAAGAAAACGGCGGAAACTTTCGAATTTACCCAATAGTACGTGTAAAAACCTGACTTTTGGCACTTGTCGCTTGTTGAAAATCGAATCGACTTAAAAAAATTTGCCCTGTCGGCAAAAACCCCTGATTTTTCGATTTTAAAAAATGGTGGGGAATTGTAAAACACGTCATAAATCGATAGAAAACTGAAACAATTTTGATGAAAAATGTTATGGAAAGCTAAAAAACGATAAAAGAAATCATTTCAATAAAGAAGAATTCGAAAAATAGCGATTGTTATTAGTCGGATTTGCAACTGTTGCCTGTGAAGTAGCTGCTAATCATTTTGGTGCATTTCAAGTAAACAGCGCGAGCGCATAAATTGCATTGAATAATTTGCCAAATTTTCGCAAGAAATGTAATGAATATGCATAAAATATGCGAAATTGACTTGAAAAATTGAAAAAATGGCTTGAACAAATTTCCCCACAAAGGGTGTTTCACAATTCCCCACCCACTAAGGTTTGCAACTTGATCGCGTTTGGGCTACTCAATGAATGTTCATGCAAAATTCCTTTTGTGAGTCAAAATATTAATGGTATACGATAATTATAAACATATTCATCTGAGTTCATTCTTCAAAAAATGCTGTGAAATCAATGCAAACATGAACGGTGAATAAAAATATTTGGAACCACATTTTCAAAGTGTCCTCACAGAGAGCTAACGTTACAAGCACACGCAATGAGTGATATTGGAAAAAAGAGCTTATACTAAGACAAGACTATGACAGTTTTTTGAATCTGCCGAACATTTCGAATTGCTGAGAAAACGAAGTGTTTCACAATTCCCCACTCTCATACTTACGCGTAAAACATTTTGACTTCATGAAACCCTCTCTTCTGGCCCAAATCAAGGTAGACAGTTTCAAAAATCGTGCTCCTTCAAGTATGCAATCATTTTTTACTGCTTCGAAGGCACCAGGGCAGGTTTAGTGTGCTCCTGAAATGTAGCGCCTGATGTCTTGTTTCTTTTGGCATATAACGTATTTCACTTATATGGCACAGAATTGGCATTTGGGAGGATAATATTGAAGAACGTAATAAAAAAATAAAAATAATAAGATTGGATTTCATTTTATTACTTTCACTTCAATCAGGTAAATTTTTCAAAATGGCTCGTCAGAAATGCAAACAGCAAATACCATTCAATTCCTCGCCCAAAACTAAATAAAATTCAGTGTCAGAGATTTTTGATAAATTTATTTTTGTTGGTCAGCTAGTTGAAATGGAAAAATCCATAAAAGTAATACTTATTACTTTTTTAATGAGGTCAATTTTTTAAAACGAGTAATCAGAAATGAAGACTAAAACTGCCACTTGATTCCTCGTCAAAAACTGAACAAAAATGTGTGTCAAAGATTTTCGTAAAACTTATTCCTGTCGATAGCTGAAATTTACAAATAAGCCCCAAAAGTTCAATTCATCAAGTTTGAGCGAAATCTGAGATGTCAATTGCATTTTTTGTTCGGTTTCGTGTGGAATTGTCGTTACTTATTTGATAAATAATGTTTCAACTATGTATTTTAATTGTGTCGACTACTTTCACCTGTCGACAAAATTTAAACTCTATTGCACTTTTTAAAGAAATGAGGTTAGCTGTGTTTTGTAATAGAAATTCACCATCCATTTGCAATATAATTCAAAAATATGTTATTATTTTTAAGAGCAAATGAGTTTACATTCACACTCATCATATATATCACGACCCTCTAGATAAAGATGTTTCTTGCAATAAAAAACAAATGCCACTGATCAAATGACAAATTGCAATGTCTATATAAGATCCATGATAATTTTCCACTTTGAATTTAACAAAATGTGTCATATAATATAAAATTCCCCACTCGTATTAGAGCTCGACCGTATCAGCATAATAACTATTCGGTCAAACGGTGCTGTATATTGATTAACTCCGCATGCGTTTGGGATTATTCTCATTTTTGATTTCGTCATGGCTGTAGGTAGTTTCAAACAATGAATCAATATCTGGTGTTGTATTTCTCTACGGATGAATATAAAATAAATGAATTAGCATGAAGTTAATAATTGGCTTTTCCGAACAGGGAAGATATCAAACTTATCATAATAGTTTATTTGTGCATTTTTAAAAATTGTATTAAAATATATAATCCGCATTTCGGCAAAACAGAATATTTTTGACAAAGGGCTTGCGACGAAAAATATAGGGGACTGGGGGGTAATTTGCGCCACTTTTTTTCCTAATTTTATATTTCCATCAAAATTGAAAAAAATTCAGGAATGTTTGGTATCATTTTGTAGCTTGTCTATTTACCTAACTTTTATAGAAGAAATATCAGAAAAAGTTAAGTGTTAGATTAGTACATCCTTCGCTGATGTTGTGTCAAAATTTCATGGAATTTGGACCGCTAGAAGCGAAGTTATTACGCCTGAAGTGACACTACCTTTGTTCATCAGTCAACAGGCGAATTTTGGCCCAAAATTCGAAAAAAAACCTTTGCGCCGATTTTTATTTATCTAAGAAGTATTCCACGCATTGTCAAACCCGTGGTACCGTTGGAAAGGTAATTGATGGTGCTACAAAAATACTCAGTCAACCACCCCTTCCGACCCCATTGAGGTCTCCAAAAACACGCTAATTGCCCCTTGCGTTTGTGGCGCGAATTGCCCCACAGCATGTATTGCTGTTCGGAGCTCGATTCAAACACAAATATTATTTATTTTCAGAACATTTTTAGTCCCATTTGATAGCGCGCGTCTTAAGCTACAAAATACACTCACCTGTTTTCAAAAAATATTAAATTTTAATAGTAAAAACTGAAATTCTATGGACCCGAAAAATGAACTCAGAACTAGCAAAAACACGTCTTTGCCTGTAGATTGCTTGTACTCGAATGAAGAGCTGTCAAATTGCTAACCAAATACTGCGTTTTTCTTGCTCTTTCAAATGACTTCAAGATCATTAGTATATGTATTGCCTGTGTCGAGAAAAGGCCGATGGCGCGAATTACCCCGTGGCAGACGTGTGCAAGGTCAAAAATTCTAGGGGGTTAAAATGATTTTGCCCCCGGGGGGGGGGGGGTGAAAATTTATTAATGGGTGTCAAAAAAAATGAAGACCTAAAAAAAGGTCCTCACTTCTGAAAATCGATTATATCTAGTGTAAAACTTTCCAAATCGCTCGAGGGGGGTCTCACATTTTGGAATCCTAGAGGGGGGTAAAACCGGAATACCTCCTTGCACACGTGTGCCCCGTGGCGTGAATTACCCCCCAGTCCCCTATGAAATATTTTCAAATATTGAAGAAAAAATTGTTCGTAATGCACCATTAGATTTCAAATATTTATTGTATTTGAGCTCCAAACATTGTGAAAAAACAGTGTTTTCAAAACACAGAACAAAATGTCAGAATCGCGCTGAAATATATAAAAAATTGCATTTTTTACACAAATTTATTGTAAACTTTATTTATGTGAGCTCGGCTGTTGTATTAACAGCCAGGCATTTATCGCAAGAATGACGCATCTTTATGTATATGGCTTTTACAAGCACACTGAGATGAGAGCGCTTCTCTTTGCAAGAGAGATTAGACGTAAAACTGCACGGGTGATGCGTGCAGTTTTTAATGACTATCTTTCTACAGTTTGATTTTCACTGTAGCTTAAGTATTCACCCATATGAATCGGGTGTGTGTTGTTATTATATAAATTAGCTTTCATCTCAATCGATGGAATAATCACAATGAATTAGGATTCAGGCAAACAAAATTATTTGATCAATCGACAAATATTTTTTCAATGTGCAGGTCTCTATGGGTGAGATTGAGAGTAGTGTATGTTCCACTGACTTTGTTACGAAAGAGAAGAGTAAGTTTCTTTCGGCTTAAAAATAGTTAAAGTAGAGTATGTATTTTGACTGTTTGTGGCTATGATAAAGGCGAGTATGTTTCATAAACCTTAATTTGCGTTAAACAAGAGTATGTATTTTGTTAGTTTGAATACCAATAAACGGGAGCATGTTTTTCAGACTTTGGGTGTTGGAAAGGCGAGTATGTTTGTCCAAATTGGTGAATATTATTAATTTGTTTGAATTTAAGTATAAGGCAAACATAATCAATAGAACTAATCGTTTGTACATTTGGCGGCTCCCAATACTTCAATTTAAAACATTGGTTTTTGAAAAAGTAGAGTATGTTTGCATGAATGGTTAAAATATTAACCCTCTAATGCATACAACCGCCTCTAGACGGGCAACATTTGAACGCCTGTAGAACGTTAACCGAACATCGGATCACATTGCTTCACATAAAAAAATTTACTCGTCAATGTTTTGTCTTTATTTTTGTCTTTGGCAATATTTGTCTATGTAGTGTGATTGTAAAGTTATGAACAAAAATGTGTGCAAAAACAAAAATTTGACAAAACAAATTATTCGAACTTCAAATTAGACACATTTTTGACACTTTTAAACAATGGATTTGATTGTTCTCTGATTTAATTTTCAATTTTCAATTTATTCAAGACAATTTGCTGTCATACATCAATATTTGGTTAGAGTAGTTTAGGAGTTTTGTGTACAGGGTGATTCATAATTCCATGCTAATATCTCTACGACAGATTCCTTGGCTCATGAGGAGTAAAAATGTGTATGGACACTTTTCCGAGTTCGGCCTCTATACCAAAGATTTGGCCGCCGGCACATTTTTGGCCGCGCCGCCGTGCTTCTACGCCAAAAGCCATTGTGAGCCCATTTTTGGACATAAATGCATGAGTTTTAGCTCATTGAAAAGATATTGAGATCCACTAGATCCTCCAATCCAAAAACGGTGAAAATGTTTGAGGAAGGGGTTAAAATTAACCCATACCGGAAAGTATGGGAAAATGGTGAAAATAGTGAATTATTTCAAAATAATGCGTTATTAAGGTATCATTTTTGCATCACAGATCGAAAGATCGTAAAATTTTAGGACGGTATGCCCATTTTTAAAAACCGATTTTGCCGTTAACCCAAGAAAACTGCGACCCAAAGGTATCATTAGTCCCCATTTTTCGAAGGTTCTTAGATACCGGGGTATAACCCAGAAACTATGGGAGATATCGGTTTACTATCTGTAAGGAAATTGTAGAGGGCGTCAAAAGCAACAACTTTGGTCTGTTTACTTTTTGAATTTCACCTGTAGATGGCGCTCGAAATCAAAATTTCTTATTTAGTGATTTTTACTAAAGTAACGGTATTTTTCGATTCAACACATCAGCCATACTTGTTGTTTTTGTCGCGGTCGACAACATAACTGTCCATACACATTTTTACTCCTCATAAGCCAAGGAATCTGTCGTAGAGAGATTAGCATGGAATTATGAATTACCCTGTATATTTATGTCAATCGCATTTCCTGACTAAACCAAGAGGAATCCAGGATTATGAAGATTTTTTTAAATATCTATGGCCAAAAATCAACCAAGTACCAGTACTCCTAGCCCTGGGAAAAATTAATGCATTAGAGGGCTAAGTTCTATCGACGAACAACCAAAAATGTAAATCTATAGTTCGTGAGTGAAAGAGATTCTCTCACTCTCTCCGATGCGTTGCGATTTCGCAATGTTTATTGGTTGTCGCATTTCTTCCGTGTTATTTTCCATGCGCTATCGTTTCAGTAATATTGTTATTTCACTCTTTTGCATTGGTTCGTATACCGCTCGTTCATGGTGATGCTGTACAATAAGCAGAGCTCGATTACGTACTATCTCTAATGCTGACAATTATGAACTCTTGATACTCTTCGTCGAAAGAAGTTAATATTTTTAACCATTCATGCAAACATACTCTACTTTTTCAAAAACCAATGTTTTAAATTGAAGTATTGGGAGCCGCCAAATGATTAGTTCTATTGATTATGTTTGCCTTATACTTAAATTCAAATAAATTAATAATATTCACCAATTTTGACAAACATACTCGCCTTTTCCAACAACCAAAGTCAGAAAAACATAGTCCTGTTTATTGGTATTCCAAACTAACAAAATACATACTCTTGTTTAACGCAAATTAAGTCTTATGAAACATACTCGCCTTTATCATAGCCACAAACAGTCAAAATACATACTCTACTTTAACTATTTTTAAGTCGAAATAACTTGCTCTCTTTTACCCATAGATCTATGTTGAGATTTAGAATTGAAATATTCAACAATAATGCATTTCAACCATGCGAAATGAATAAAATCTTCTTGCAAAAGATTCTCGAATTTTATAACAAAGCAAGTACAGCGATTCCTCGCCTAGCTCATGCTTTCTAAACTCTCTCATCAACAGCCAAAAGAAAACTCCACTGTCCCCTGGACAGCGTGACAGTCGGGCCGTTCGCAAAACACCAATAGGCGTACGCGACGAATCATTCTGATTCACCGAATTTATCCAAAATCCAATGGTTGAGATTGAGAGTACTGTATGTTTTTTTATGACTCATTTTAATTTAGGAGTATGTTTCGCTTATGGTTTTTGGCAATTTTCATTTTAATGACAAGAAATATTGAATTCGTGTCTTCGCAAAAATTTATGGACTTGTCAAAGTGTACAACTTTGCAAAAGACAATTATCATATATCTGTTGAAATAAATAAATTATTTCAAGTATTGCTCACCGCTTGAAAACATACTCTAATTTTTTTCCAATACAAACAATGTGGAACATACACCCTAGGGGCAATTCACATTCGCGAATGCCATTGCCATTCGCAGAATAAGAGGCATTCGTGCCTGTTTCGCCATCTATTCGGAGTGCCGCATTTCTTGTTCAGTGTTTCAGATATTAGAAAAGATATTGGGCGAAAGACTACCGGCCAATTTAGAAAAATCATAATAAGTGCTGGATTTGAATGCGAAACTGCTCTGTTATCCATTGATTCTAAAAGCATTAGCGATATAGAAGAATTTATAAACGAACATAAATTTTATTTGAAAGATACGGCATACGAATGTTGTCTGGCAAATAATTCAGTGTTCAAGTTCGAACCGGGACATCGAGC